TTTTTACTCCTCTTCAGCATTCGGTCTTTTCTCTTTTCAGAACGACTGCAAAAAACTATTTCTGAAAGTTCAATTTCTACTAAATATTCAACGCGCGCAAAAGACGCCAAAAACACCAACTCCTCGCATGTTCCTGCGTGGTGCACTGAACTGATGTGTACTGTAGCTAGCTGCCTCTCGTCATCATTGGAGCTGAGGATCCGGCTCGTCATTGGACCTGCCTGCGGATCCTGCCTGTCCCATACACCATTCTCATTCCGTATTTTCCATGTGATGCCTGATTGCCCCATATGAGTGAGTCCACGAACAGCCGCCCTTCACAACCTGATATTCCAGAAGGAAAACCATTGTCTCGACGGAAGAGACATACCTTTGCTGAGAAGTACAAAATTCTTCAGTTGCTTGATGAGGCTGGCGCCAATGTCACAAGTGTTTCCCATGTCACAGGTGTGAAAGCAAAGACTATTTATGAATGGAAAGCTAAGAAAGATCATATTCTTGCCCAGATCGACAAGGAGAAAGCAGCAACAAAAAAGGCATCAACAAAGGATACAATGCCGGCATTGGATAAAATGATGGTAGCATGGCTAGACAGGGTTCTAAGCTCAAAAAATCTTTTGCCGACTCAACATGCGATCAGCCTTGCAGCTAAACGGTTCAAGGAGCAGATTCTCAACAGCAACTCACGTGAAATTTCTCAAAATGAGAAGAATCTATTGGGACGGTTCAATGCAAGCACAAGCTGGGTGACAAGATGGACCAAGAAGCATGGTCTTGTGAGTAAACAATTGCATGGAGAAGCTGGTGCCGTTGATTTGGCGAAAATTACGCCCAGGATTGAAGAGTTGAAAGCAAAAATTGACAGATATAGTGCAGAAAATGTGTACAATATGGACAAGACAGGACTCTTCTATCGTCTTACTCCCCGCCAATGCTACGTCAAGGTACAGGCACAGGGATCAGCTTGGGGTACAAAAGGAATGACAGCAAAGGACCGAATCACTTTGTTTGTTGCTACCAATCTAACAGGGGACAGAAAAGTGCCATTGAGCGTGATTGGGAAATCAGGAACTCCTCGCTGCTTCCGCAACAAAAGTGTTCCTTTGAAGTATTTCAGCCAGAAGAAAGCATGGTCGGACAAGCCTACCTTTCGCAGATGGTTTCTAGAGGTATTTTTACCTTACATTCGAGGTGTTACGACTGCATCTCCTGTCCTCCTGATCATGGATAACTGTGGTCCACATGGAGATGACATCGAGGCTCTTGATGTCCGTGGTCAAGTCAAGGTAGAGTTTCTTCCACCAAACTGCACATCTGTGCACCAGCCAATGGACATGGGTATCATTGCCTGGGTGAAAAGGAAATATCAATACCGTCTCCTTGGGAGAATGCTCGATGTCTTGGATAATTCTGAACAATATGCTGATGTTGATGTTGGTCGTTTCCAAGCAGGAACTGCTGGTGTCACCAAGGGAACCAAGGCCCATGTCTTAGATGCAATCAAGATCTTGAATGAAGTTTGGAACAAACTTGATCAGAAGACCATAGCACGCTGCTGGGACAAGGCTCAAATTTTGCCTGATTCCATGAAGGAGAATTTCGATAACAGCATACATGCTAAAGGTTTTGACGCTTGGATGCAGGCTTGTGTTGATGACATAGCCAACAGAATCAAGAACATGAAATTGAGTCATTGCAGTGATGTTGTCCAAGACAAAGAAATTATGGATGTTATGAAGGGATTGAATGAGATCCGGAATGACGGTGATATCGGGAAGAAAATTGCTGAATGGGAAGATTTGGAAGCTGATGAAAACGTTGCATCATATCTTCAGCAGGAGGAGGCAATAAATGTGGACAAAGAGATCACAGTAGAAGCTATTATTTGTCCAGCTCACAATGATTTGTATAATTCATCCGACGAAGAGGAAGAGGAAGGCTCAAAATCTCCTTTGGAACAGGTGGATGCTTCCACCATAACATCTGAATTAGCTTCATTCGAACACCGGCTTTGTGACCATCAGTGCTATGCCACTGCCAATGCACTACAAGATGCCAGGGATGCACTCTTCCGTGAAATAGCCAAAGCAAAGCAAGTGCAATGTATGAACAAGCGAAAGACACAACAAACAAACCTTAGTGTATACTCTTTCACAGCAAAAAACTCTAAACCTAATTGACTTTGCTCAATATCGCAACTATAGTACAACACTTTTCTTAACTATAGTACGACACTTTTCTTGTAAGATTTTGCTTAATTATGACCTGAAATTGCCAGTGACAACTTTGAGCGCAAGCGAAAGGTTGAAGTTTGGAATGGTGCAAGTGGAAAGAATGTTGAACCACTCCTCAGGTCCATTCAATCCTTTCGCAACATCTCTTCAGAGTGGGGACTCAATCAGGGTCGTCAAAAGAAGGCCTTGTTCAAGCACTTTCTCACTGCTGAACCGCACATGACCTATCAGAGGATTTCTGATGCTCATGGGAACTCAGTTCAGGACTTTGAAGATTCTGTCGATGAATTCATTTGCGAATACACTGGTTAAAATCCATAGTATCAGGCGAACATGTATCTCTTTGATACTTCCAACCACATTCGCAAACCATATAATACTGAATTTGGAATTCACGCAAATCGCTTGAAGACCCTATTTATGTATCACAATATGCTTCCTGGAAATTGTTCCAACGTGAACAATGAGAACAATCCGGGTCAAATTCGGAAGAGAAAGCTGGCACTATTTCGCTCGGTCCTTTCCAATTGATTGGCAGGGAGATTTTATCAATTCGCGGAATGATCCGGCGAACGACAATAATATTATGTGGAAAGATATTGTCAGTTGGATGACACAGAATAAAAGAACAGTGGACAGAAAGAAGCTTATGCAGGAGAGTTCTCAACGTCAAACTCGACCTGGTAATCGCACAGGCGGTAGAGGCCTTCACCAAAATCGTTTTGGTGGTGGTCGTGGTCATGGTCGACCAAGCAATGGTTATCAACCATATCCAAGACCCTTGAACTCTCCAAGATATTCTCAAGGGAATTCACAAAGTTTTCAACGTGGAGGCAATTCCCAGCAACAGAACCAAGGACAATTTCAGCCAAGAAACCCCAACAATGGTGGCAGAGGCCGTGGATTTAATGGCCGGCGCAGTGGACGCTCCCAATCTGGTCGTTTTCAGCCAGGACGAAACTATCACGGCAGAGGCCAACCACAGCAACAACAAAATCAAAACTACTATGCTGAGTCGCACTACAATCAAGAAGCTGAAAGCTTTGCTGCGGAAGGCAGCGTTCCTGAATGGAACCAAGACAGCAAGACAGAATGCCTTATGGTGGAATGCCAAGTGCCGAGCAGTACCAGCATCAGGAACAATATTATCAAGCTGAAGAAAATCAGCAGTGGAATGATCAATTCAACTATGAACAAGAAGAATATTATCCTGAAGAACAGGAGGCGCACGAACATTTTTCCTATGATGAGGATTCGCCATTTTCCTTTCATGAAGAGCATTATTGACCCAAAAATACTCCTAAACTAACAGAGCTTCCTAAGCTTCCTAATCCATTTCTGGAACCTGATTTGTCTTCGTTTCTTGGAAAAATTTGATGATGAAGATGGTCCAATAACTGAAGATGAGAAAGAGTTTCTTTTGAATGATTCTCTGCTTTGTATACCTACGCCAAAACAAGACGTAAATTCTATGGAGGATTCAATGAGAAAAAAGAGACTTTCACCTACATCATTGGTGATTTGGAAGACAATTGGAGGAATTGAAAGTGGAAAAGTTTTACGAGTATTATTTGATTCAGGAGGATCGCATACTATGATCAATGCGAGGGCGATTCCTACAGATGCTAAGGTACAAAGTATTCAAAATGCGAAGAAGTGTACTACTGTTGCTGGTGATTTTGTTTCTGACAAATGTGTGAAATTGCGGGACGGAGTCTTTCCCAAATTTGACAAACACCGCAGAATCGCAGGTGTCGACGGTGTCAAGGCGAATGTCTTTGATTTGCCAACGTGTCCACATGACGTCATAATCGGACGCGACCTTCTACACAAAATGGGCTTGGATATCCAATTTTCAAACGGACAAGTCAAATGGATAGACAAGTTCATTCCAATGAAGGCTCCAGATCAT